CAAAGAACCTTTAAGACCACCCCTCTCCAGCAACACTGACTGGGCAAGCCACTAAAATATAAACTGAGAGCAAACCCCACTGTTTACTAGCACTGATTATTTACTAGCACCTGGTTTGGGTAATGAAAGGTCAGGGAGCAACAAGGACTTCTCATTTCACCCTGAACTACAAATATTTTCCTTTATTGGTACACCAGACTTTACCTACTTATTACTACTAATACTTTTATTCTATTCATTAAAATAAGGAAAAGTCCTTATTTTAAAGGATATCTATTTGCCTGAATTAGTCTATAAAACTGATAGTTTGTTGCAGTGGTGGATTGCAGGCGGCATGCCCCAATACGGGTGTACCGGAGCCTTCCCGGAGCACCGGGTACCATTCCGGTATGGTGCTCCGGAGGGCTCACCCATCCACCCAAGCTCCTTACCGGTCCTTTAAAGCCTTCGGCGTTTCCGAGCATGCGCCTGGCACTTACAGTGCTTGCCAACGCTCCACCGAGCAGCTGGAGCATCGTAGAGGCTTGTGGAGGCGTCGCAGGCAGGTACGACACATGCACGCACAGCTCGCATCCATCTGGACAACACCGGGCCTGTTCCAACCATACCAATTGGAACGGGATCCGGAACCCATCACTGGTTTGTTGTGACTGAAAGTCTGGCTACCTTAAAAAAAAAACACCTCCAAATCAGATTGGTTGCTTCATTTTTTTCTAAGTGTTTGGTCATATGTATGTGCTTCCCATCATAAGGAGAAAGGGAAAATATTAGTATGCAGCATAGGGGTTAGAATTACAATCATGCTCTGCTCATTAGTTCTGTTCTCCACATATTTCTATGTACATCTTTTCAATCTTCTATATGAAATTTAATCTAAAACCCAGACTTATAATAACTAAAAGTGAGCGAGAAGAGGTAGCATTCTTGGGAATATACCAAAATAGACAAACCTTCAATCATTCTATTTGTTAATTTCCAATGTCTCCTGACTCTATCATGTCTCATACTTGAAATTGCCGCTTATTTGTTTCCATATTCAAATATATGGGGAGTTAAGTGGGCTGATATAGCATTAGTTAGAAGTAGTAAAGCTATAGTATCAATGAACAGACAGCTGTGATAGTAGAAATTAAAATGGCCCTTTAGAAAGGAAGGGTGGTAAGAACATTTTACTTGAGGGCTCTTTGAAATCTGGAATTAATATTGAGAATAATCATTTCTGTGCCATAAAAAAACTTTCACAAATAGTGCTTTTGTAACAAGATATCTAGCCATCAATAATAAAACTAGAAAATCTGTATTTTCTTAAATACATTTCATGGTAGAAAAAAAAAGGATTGAAATTGTTTCTATAGCATTTCTCTTAAATCTGCATATTAAAAAGACTGCATGAATGAATTCACATAGTGAAGGACACAAGTTGTAGTTTCAAGTTGTTGCCCTTTCATAAATTGTACTTACATATTTTGCTTTGTTCTCTAATATATTATGAAATATGTCTTCTCCTTTAACACATAATTACTGAAAAATTCAAAAGGTGAAAGGGTAGCATTGAAAATTAAGGACCTTTTGATCTCTTCCATCCATTAGTGTTCCACAAAATAAAAATAGCTTCAATTATAGCAGAATCTTTGAAAAAGGTGTGCAAATTGTGATATAGAATCATCTCATCTTATTAGAACATCCATGGAGAAATTACCTATAGTCCCACTCATTTCCAAAAGGGTTGGGAAGCTAGAAGGCAATGCTTTTATACAGAAACACTAGTCCTTTGGAACCCCCTTCTTGCTGGTTTTTAGTAAAATGTTAAGAATCAAACTATTTTATGAGTTTCTTAAGTTTATATATAAACATTTACTCTTTTTGCTTATTTGCTCGCCTTATTTATTGTTTATAAATAAATGTTTATTTTTATATAAATTAAAAATTTATACATTTTTTAATACTTCTTTTTTTTTGCATCTTGTTTGGGATTTTAATCAGAGTATGGATGTTTAACTGGCTTTATATTCTATGTATACCACCAACAGTAATTTTGACAATAGTGGTAAAGAAATTGGTAAATTTAGGCAGTATATCTGCTCAGAAATATTGTGTTATTTCATTGTCATCAATTAACAAGAATTTGACCAGTGGAAACTTTGATTATGCAACAATCTGAAAAGGAAGTGAATTTCCTCCCAATATATTCCATGCAGAAATTAGTACATAGCTATTTAATCTTCTTTGCCTGGTTTACAATAATGGCATTGTTTGCATTCTGAACTTAAGTCTTAATCAGCTCGAATTTGCCACTATAGTGCTGTATTGTTTGGTTTGATACTGATGTGGTAAATTGTTTCTATTCTGGATTTAAGCCAGAAAAGGGATTTCATTCTCTAGATTTTTTTCCATGTTTTGAATACGTAGTTGTAATCCAAATGATGCTATTGTGTTTCATTTATATTAGAGAGCTTGAAATACAACAGTCCACACTGGGATCATATTACTGACAATTGAAGCATGCGGTTGACCAAAACATATTCTTCCTCTAATTGTATGTATGGAGGAAACAAAATGTGATCACCTTGCAAAGCTCTATATTTACAAAGGAACCTTCTTAAAAAACATTGCTTGAAAAGTCTGATTCAAGTACATTTCAGTTACAATAGCAGTTCTCCATTAAAGTGCAGAAAAAAATATAAATTGGATGTGCAGGACAGAAAAAATCTTCTGGTAATAAGTTTCTAGGTGTTCTAGAAAGATTTCGCTTTCTATCACACATTTTATATATTTGATTACAATTTGGCATTTTTATCCTACTATTAGAGCAGGGCTGTCAAACTCCCAGCCTTTGGGCTGGATGCCTCATATGTTGGCGATGCCCACACCTGGTTTAGTGAAGGGGGGGGGGAAATCCCGATATATCATGTAATGATGCTGTGAATTTGACACCCCTGCACTAGAGTGATCACAAATGTATTTGTTTTTTATGCCTATTAATCAACTCATTAGAGTTTCCCATTGTCCTCTTTAATCTGTTTCTAGAACCGTTGGCTTTTTAAAATTAGACAATAACAGGATATCATCAATGTGCTGTTGTAGTGGGCCCTAAATACATGCTTTCGATACAAGACATTTTGAGAATTTTGATATTTAATATCTATATTAAATTGTGCAATGTGGCTTAAATCCAAGGCATACGATTATTTGGAAAAAGGTCTAATCTGCTTCCTCTAAGATTAAAAAACCAACAAACCAACAAATCAATGTCAAAAGTTGGATTTTACAATTTGAACTGTATAAAATGCTTGGAATGGATTTCCTTTTATATCCTAAAATATACTGAATTATATCTAAATGCATAGATATGATTGTATTGGATATAAATCAGTTAAAATTACCTTTGAGCCTCTGGAGTAAGATTAATGTAAACAAATTGTATGTAGCATTTAGAGTGATGTACGCCTTCAGAGGAATATTGATGTTAATTTCATTTAAATATCTAAACTATTGAGAAAAGGTTTATAGCAGGACAAGGTCTCTCAATTTACTTTGGCTAAATTGCCTTATGATGATGGTAGCTAATTTAGGTTTATCAATGGTCTTTTATAATGGAATGAAGGCATATTGCTTCATTTGGGCTCATTTAAAAAACCAATGTGTGACTCCTTTCAAGTTCTGGAAAGTTTGTGAATCAGATTTCAGAAGAAAAGTCTCATTCTCCCAGATTTGGTGGCTATTAAATATATTTAGACATTATTTGGGGTGCAGTTAATCTTTCACCCACATTCACATGAGATAATGACATTATGGAATAATCCTAATTTGAAGACAGAAGAAGTGAAAATGCTTTATTTGGAAGTCTTGGGGCCAAAGCAAAGGTTTAGTACCTTGAATTAATTATTTAGTAAGAGCTATTTTAAGAATCTTGAGACATTACATTTTAAATATAATCTCTTTGAACCATTGCTTGGCACTCTATACAATTAAAACAAATACTATCAAAACAATATGGCCCAGATGTTTTAGTAGCTTCAGAAGCACCATAATATTTGGATGTTAAAAATATTGTATCAGAAGTAAAATAAAAAATCAAATTCTATACAAAATTAAAAATATGACACAGACTAATATTGGAAAAATATATGATTTGAATATAAGAAATCAGAGTATACAGTCTTGAAAAATATATGGGCCCAATTTTTCAGAAGTGCTAAGCACAGTTTTAATGACCTAGGAATGAAGCTAATTCATCACAAAAATCTTGATCTGAATTAGCTTGACATCTCCAAACATTTTTAAAAAAATGTGTAACACTAAAGAAAATTTGAGAGCTTTCTGATTCATACAATGTAGTCTTGTTTGTCTAGTCTTTCCTTTGGTTTCAAGGCATCAAGGTAATATGACCTTGGGGAAGGGGGAATATAACATGTAGCTTAGTAAAGAAATAAATATTCTCACTTTATTAATACTGAGAAATTTCAAATTCTATTCTATTCTATTAAAATAAATGATATCATTCAATAATAAATTCAGTTTACCACAAGAGTTTACGATGGATCTCCTTTACACTTGTGTTTCAAAACTCCAAAGAATATTTTTAGCATGTCCACTCTAAATTCTGTGCAGCATATAATGACTTTGTTTAGTTTCATATGTTACAAATTTGCTTAATTATTCACAGTGCCCCATGGTACAGGAACTTCCAGAATATAGCATTCATATATTGGAATATATTGGCCAGTCTATAGCTACATCTAGTTAGATAAGGTTTTTTATAAATAAAAAAAATAGACCAGCGTTCTATCAAGTTATAGAGAGTTTTTAAAACAAACCTACTTCTCATTCACAAGTGCCTAAAGTTATTTTCTCTATGAAGTAGTTAGTAATGGCAATACTTTTCTGTGTGTTGAATAAACTGATACATAAAATGTGTTCTCAATTAATAAACATTTTCCAGATGAATAATTACTTGACTATAAATGAAGTCCAAGCTATGTTTGTGTAAAACAACTCACCAAATCAGCTGCTATGGAAAATATTTTCTACATCCACCCACAAGCGACAGTCATAGATGGTCAGTCAAATGGGAAGCAATCATATCTGATCAATTCCCAACCATTGCCAAGAGGGCCAAAATGCTGTTATTTTTGAGAGATTTTCAAATTTTTTGGCCTAAAGTGTAAAAAAAAAACAATTAGTGGTTCAACTAAGAATATCACTAGTACAGATAGAACTGGTAGAGCTCTGCCAGTTCCCTGTTCCTTTTCCCCCCTGTTTTATGTCCCTTAACCAAAATATAGATCAATTATTGACAGCTATAAACAATAGTTTTGCACCTTTTTTAACAGAGGTGAACAGAGATTTTTTTAAATCGTTCTTAATTTCCTGAGTGGCAACATTTGTGGCACACTGTTTAGGAAGGGAGACAAATTTACTTTACTTTACTTTACTTTATTGTCATTGTACCTCGTACAATGAAATTAAATGCCATCTTCAGTGTACATCATACATAAGAAAACTATAAAAATAACACAACAACAGACATCCTTCACATTCTATACAATCAAATTGAAAACCTCTGATACTAAATTAGTATTACACTGCATTAGTATTTAAATTTAAATATAAAGTAAGGAAAGAACATTACTGTAATGTTATACTTATATGATTATAATTGCAGTACATTGCATTCCGTTGCATCCTCAACATATATTTAGATTGCATGTCAAAATGGGTATTTATATTTCTCTTATTCAATTAAAAATTAAAGAGGATGGTTATACTCTTATTGCTGAGTTACATAAGATTTTATGTGGAACTTTGACATAATGTAAAACTACTATGCAAAAATATGAAAATAAATAAGAAGCAGGTCCTATAATAGTAATTCAACTCCACAATATGAAAACACGAGGATACCTGTGATAGCATCCAACACATCCAAAGACTTTCTTTGTATTTAAGCATCTCAATCACTGTTTTATCTTTCTGGCAGATTTTAGTCCCCCCCCCCCCGCCCCAAATTAAACACTCAACTATAAGCACTGCATAAGACATTACTCTTGTCATTGAAAATTTTGGCCCTTTAGGAAGATTTCATTTTTCATATTTCAAACACTATATTTATAAACTTAAGATACAGTTACAAATTATTTGCTTGATGTTTTCCATTGGCATTTTCAACAAAATGTTTTAAATACTAAAAAAGTCAGTATTTAAAGACATATAACGACCAGTCAAAAATAAGTAATTCTTTCATGGGCATGAAAATTATAAAAAGCCAAGCTATTCCTTTTGAATCCAAGTATACTAAAGTGTTGGACTTGCAATACAGAAAGTTTTCAGGCCCAATTAAAATTTTTCACTTTTCTTATGAACTTATTAGGCATATTACAGATAGTTCTTGATGTACCACCATTCATTTAGTGACCATTCAAAGTTATAATTGCACTGAAAAAAGTGACATGGAAATTTTTCAGCCTTTGCAGCATCCTCATGGTCACATGATCAAAATTCAGAGACTTGGCAACTGGTTCATATTTATGACTGTTACATAGTTCCTGAGCCATGTGATTACCTTTTGCTACCTTCCGGCAAGCAAAATTAATGGGGAAGTCAGATTCATATAACAGCCGTGTTGCAATTTAACAACTGCACTGATTCACTTAACAACTGTGGCAAGAAAGGTCAGGAAATGAGACAAAACTCATGTAACTATCTAACTTCAGGCTTAACTGAAGTTAACTTGGGCTTAATTGTGGTTATATATTGGCCTCAGACCTCAATTATTCCTCAATTGTTTCTGACTCCATCAAGCATGGCTGTTGTTATATGGAGAGAAATGAAGGATATTCTTTTTCACTAAAGTCATTAATTTATCTAGCCTTGTACTGTTGATAGTAATAGACAGCAGCTCTATAGTTTCAGGCAGTACTTTCCCCCACCCTTAGATTGGGATTTACTACAAGCAACTTACTGAAGCCCAGCTCTTAAGATACTACAACCTGATAATGCAGGTTGTACTAATGGAGGTTGCATTAGTTCAAAATACTTTGAACTAATGCAAAATTTGTAGTCTACTTAAACTTTTGAGCCAAAAGTTTCGCTTGGATTTTTATTGTAACAATAGATAAATGCAAGGGACTGGCCATCATATTATTTTCATAAAAGTTCATTTTCCATAATATATGCAGTTCTATCAGAATATGACAGCTTGGCTTTCAGTTGCATGCTAACAGAAAAAGAAATAAACGCTATTGCAAATATTCTTGTGGGTTTCCATAAGTTTCTTCTGAAATTGAAAGCATGCATTAAACCAACTTTCCTCAGTGTGGATTCATTTAGATCAATTAAAACTTCCACTTTTATGTTAACCCAATAATAGTGGAACATTTGAAATATATTTCTTGAGGTCTAAACAGTAAGAAACTAATTTATTCAATGACAGTAGTAGCCTTAAGCCAATGTCTTAATAACCACTTGTTATTTAACACTGAAGGAGTGGCTTAATGTAATTAGATACATGTTCAAGACTCTTAATTTAATTAACTACAGCACCAATATTTCCCCAAGTAGCTTCGGCCTTTTTTTAGCATTGTTTAACTACTAGAAGCTTTTCACTTGAAGAGGTAAAACCAATTGTGCATCCTAGTGAGGTCATATAGTATTCTATAGCATCCTACAATTACAAAGTGCATGGAAAGTTTGGCCTAACCAGAATAAATAAATTTCTTAAAATAGAATTAAGAAAGCACCAACTTTGGCCACCCAAGATGAGGATGCCTTAAGACAGCCTTTCCCAAGTTAGTGCCTTCCAGATGTTTTCTCATATCCCCAATGACCATTGCAAGTTTGTGTCCAACCTCTAATCATATGATTTTTCTCTACCAACTAGTATGGATAAAATATAGCAATGCACAAACTTGGTACTGTGATTTCATAAGGTGGCAGAATATGTTAACATCAAATGAAAGTTACTTCACAATATTCCCTAGGAAAAATATTTTGCTTACCTTGCCTGTTGTTTGAAACAAACAAAACATCAACTGTTGGAAGAAGAAAATTGCCCATAAATAAGAGTTTTAAGAATTATTTTTTTTAAAAAATAATCCGACAACAAAGATGTATGAAAGAGATATGTATGAAAGTTTTGGTCTGAAAGTCTGACGCCAAAAGTAGATTTGCCAGATGCGAATAGGCCTTTTTCATTACAGGATATTAGAGTGGGATGGGTTGAAAGCCTTCTATCTCAAGTGATTAAAAATATGATAAAATGGTAGAATTGCATATGCATACTATACATACATAGAGCTTATGTTGGCCAGAAATAAACCCAGTAATTGGCAATTACTGGAGTAGCACAGCAACACAGGCCTATGCAGGTATTCCCAACATAATTCATAGCCGTTAAGTAATTGTGTTAAGAGATACAAACAAGTTTAGAATGCATTTACAGAACAAAAAATTCTCAACATAAAATAGAGTAGACTAAATCAGCCTCTGCAGCTTTTCCAAAATTTAAATATGGTAACAAATTCCACTATCTTTATACTAATATCAAACCCTCTAATATCTCCTCAGCATCTCTAAACATCCTGAAATAAATAGCGAAATATCAAATAGTGACTATGGTGCATAGAAAGGTTCACATTGGAGGAGGCAACCTTCCACATAATCTGGACATTTTGAGCTTGACACATAATAACCAACATTGTTTTTGTGCCAAGACAAATTAAATGTATTACTATAATATGTTTAAGAAATGAATACAAAACCACTGCAGCTACTGCAGTACACAAGGCTGGAATTTCTGGAAACTCTTATAGAACAGGGCATTGCAGTAGTCCAATCTATATGTGAACAGGATAGCAGTTAAACTTTTATGAAAAAATACTAGCAGGCACACATCAAAACTCCTAAACAAGCCAGGTCCTCTATGGACTAGCTCCTGTACCTAAAAAATGATTCAGGACTTTCATAGTTGATTTGGCCTTTATAAAAACCAAAGAGAAAAAGCTAGGTATTCGCTGCATATAACCAACTCCAAATTGTCCATAGGTCCTGTCAGACATTAAATAACACAACGAACAAGCAGATCCTTTAAAATTAAAGGAATTTCTTCTATTAGAATTGAGTACTGGTATATACTCCAAATCATGCATCTATGCATTGGACATTTCAGCATTGTAATACCACAGTTTGTCTCTTCTCAAAAAACAAATTGTTCTTATTATTCAGTATTATTTTAATTATTCATGTTTTCAAATTTCAATTGCATAGACTATTTTTGGGAAAGAAGGCAATTATCATCAGTTAGACTGATTATTTGCTTAATATATTTCAATGAATTATTATTTCAAAGTTGTGTGTTATAGTAACCTAGTGAGGGACGTAAGAACAAAAAAAGGTTGAGTGTGGGGTATTTGAGTTGAAAGGTGAGTTAAAAATCAGCCAATAAGTACTGCCCTTTTGAGTTTTAAGGGTGGCAAATAAAGTCATCATATTATAACCAGGTTTTTCCCCCTTTTACAGGTATTTTCTAGCCATTGTGATAAATGATCTACCATATGAGCATCTATTTATGCATAGATACATAGAGATGCTGTGATTTAATCATATTGCAGATATAGCACAATTTGAAATATAAATTGGGAGAGGTTTCCCCACAAAATGAATAACAACTGTAGAAGAGGTATTTTCCTCTGAAGAGCAAGAGAAAATAATAAATTTCCTCAACTGCCTTGGTCCTTTAATTACCACATTTCTCAAGGTGGATCTTTTGCATTTTTTTCCTTTGCTATATACTTACTTTGTCCCTCCTTATTACAGGAAAGTGGGTCTCAATTTGTGAGCCACCTCAACACCATGACACACAAAAAAAGAGCTCCATTTCAATACCTAAGTTTTAGCAGACCAGTTCATTTTAACCAAAATGGTTTTTTCCCCATGCTGGATACCTCTTTGAAGAGTTGCTTCATCAAAGTTTTAACAGAAGCAAAGCACCTTTTCAAATCTTCACACAGACTAATTAATGAATGCACAGCTGTATGATTATATCTTGGCAATTGCTTTCCATATTAATTGGAATGGAGAATTTACATTTATAATGAATTTGGGACTGAGTAATCTTCAATACTCTGGGCAACTGAAAAAGATGTGACAGTATCACGAAAACCTGGACCTTTCTGTAGCATTTCTCTTGTTTTGCTTTTTGCTTTTTACATTAAAATGTGCTAAATTCAATTCTGTTATTTATTGTAAAAAATATTTGAAGATCTCAGAAGAATCCAAACTTTATTTTTCTTCACTCAAGTTCATATTTGACAAAATATTACTCCCCTTCTTATGACCCTGTAGTCCCTGATTATTAACTGGGATATTAACTGAAGAAAGAAATGGTTAATAATATGCTTGTTTGTTTCTTTAAAATACATCCCTTTAGGATTTTAAAAAAAGTATTTGTCAATGTGAAATACCTATTTTGGGGTTATTGTTTAAGATATTAGATTTGCATCTGTAGACTTTCTTCTTTAAGAATAATGCAAAATTATTAATCTATATATATAAAAATGGTTGTGTGTATGTTCCAGCATAACTCTGGAAGGCCTCGAGCAATTTCAACCAAACCTGTTACACAGATGACTTACTCTCTGGAAACAAATACTGTGGGGGTAAGACACCTCTAAAACCCATTGGGGGTGTTCTGTTAAGATACAGCCTGTTGTGGCTTCTACTGTACTGCCGTAAAATGGCTTCTACTGTGCAGCACAGTGGAGTTGCCATGGTAATGGCTCTACAGTACTCCACAAGGGGGCTCCCTTTGGTAAGGAGGAAAATTCAACATTAGAAATTACATTTGATCCCAACATTTTCTCCCTATAAATAAATACCCGGGCTCGCCGGGTTATCAACTAGTAATACATAAGAATAATCTCATGTATTAGGACATTCAGTAGTTAACATCAGAGAGTTGCTATGGGTAAGGCATCCTTCTCAGTGATTCAGTAGCGCAGAGAAGATGAGCGACTCTTCCATTAGAGATACTAATAAGTACAACTGGTAAGCATTTTGTAACAGATTCATTCCCACATGGTACATACTATAGATCTGGCTGTCTGACAGGGTTCATACCTCAAAGGAAATCCCACATCAGATTTACCATGCTGATCTATTATTTTCATTCTGTTTCTGTTCTTTCACCTGTGCACTCCAATTATGGGGTCATTATATGCAGTAAAAAGAGGAACATCTGCATTCAATTGTTTTGCTGTCTTATAGGAAATCATAAAAACTAGGCAAACAGAAACTAAATAAGTCTTCTGTATGAATATATCTCAGTGACTCCAAAATTTGGAGCCAATCTTGACATCCCATTTTTCTGGGAGTGAATATTCCATGAGGATCTAATATTTTGCAGCAGCAAAGTACTTTAAGGTTCTTTATCCACAATGTGTAACCAGATAGTATATAAATCTACTATATAGTAATATTATTTTGTGTCCTAAGTTCTGAAACTGAAAATAATGCTCTTTAGCAAAGATGACGAAAGCTTAACTGGCACACAGAAAGTTGATACATTTTTAGTAAGCTCAGAAACATGCTGTTCCTCCAGAAATTATAAAAGTTATTTAAAAATGGTAAAATTATAACCAGCACATCAATCCATCAATATATTACTTGCAGACTCTCCAGAAAATGTCGCATTTCACATTCTTTGGTATTATATTAAACACCCAGCTGCTACAGTTAAATTATTCCAAAACTGTATATGGAAATGTTATATTACAAGAATGAGATGAACTTCTAATGATAATATAAATGTATGAAGTGTGTTTTATTTGATAAAAGCTGTAATAGTACTATTTCTGTGATGATCTGTCTCTAGTTAGATGAACATTTATAGCAAGATTAGGCAACTTGATATTAATTAGATGCATTGGATTACAATTCCAATAATCCAAAACTATTGACCAGTATAACTGAATTTATAGAAACTGTATCCTAAAATGTCTGTAAGATATGACAGTGCTTTTGAACAGTCATTAAATAGGCAACACTCTAAAAGCAAAATGATCTAGTGATTTATTAGACAGTAAATTCAGCACTTCATACAGAGTGATAATTAATAGAACTATACATTTCACATATCTTCACTAACTGCTTTCAGTACTATATGAATATCTTACTGCATATTAGGCAAGGAGAGTTTTTAAAGTTTAAATCAATCAAACTGTGGTGCATGTCAACTGATTCCAATGAGACCTATTTCCAAGTTAATGTGCACAATTTTTGTGCAGGTAATATGCACCTCACTGTATCATTAGTTGTGATCCTACCATAGCCCAACTTTATCCTTTATTTATTTATTAAATGTATATGCCGCTCATCTCACTCTAAAAAGTGATTTATAAACCAAACTAGCATGAAGAGTATTGGAAAGCACCCAGTCTGGCACAGAAGAAGCATCAAGCACACAGTTATCGTGGAAACACTACACAACTACAAAAGGTCACACACACAAACACACACGTTCCTGGAAGCCTTATCTAATTGTTCTCAAGAGGCTGCCAGATCAGGGAAATTCCTGTATTATAAGCAGAACATAATAAAATAGTTAGCTTGAACTCTGCAAGTGTGGGTCAGGTGGTTCATGTCTACAAGTAGGCCATAAATGTGGTTTACAATTCTTAATTGGTAACGCTTAGCTGGACAGTTTTAATAAATCTCGATCTCATAGAAACATACTAAAGAAAAGAAAAGAGATTCTCTATTTCCTCACACAAAATAAGAAAGGATCATGTCGAGTCCAACCTCCCTGCTATTTTCAGACATCCAAATTAAAGATCCTTGAAAGTTGTCAGCATTTGCTTGAATGTATCTCCAATGAATGGCAGTTCATCACCTCATTTATCATTGGTAAATGGAAAAACTACTGTTGAACTACTTTTACTCTTAGGAAGCACTTATAAAGCACAGTGGTTTCTTGTTAGTAGGCAGAGTATTGTAAAAGAAGTTACTGTTGAGATATGAAGTATTAATGCTTTTA